AAAAAAAGGAAATAATTAGATTTATAAACATAAAATACATTTATAAACATTTTTTAAAAAAATTATTTTACTTTAAATGGAAAAAAATTTTGATTATAAATTTAATGAATGATTAACATAGCTGAATACCAAAATATACCGCAACAAGCAACAATTTTAGTAACAAATGGTTTAAATGGTGCTAAAACACCGTTAACAACGTCGGATATATTAAGTACAAATTTGGTGAGTAATGTAGAAGCTGTGGAATGGTTAAGTGGTGGACGACTGCTGATAAAAGCTGATCAAAATTATACAATTATTGATACAACAAAACCAGATTTTCCATCTACAATATTTGATGGAGATGGCATTTTGGTAATAGAAAACATTATCAAAAACAGCATTATTTTAATTTTATTCTGTTTATTAATAAAGTTTGTTTGAAAACTGTTTTATTAATTTTTTTTTTATTTGAATATTCTTCTAAATATAGAATACCTATTTTTTTTTGAAGACAAAATATGGTAGAACTGTTGCTTGGAGTTTTTCGCACGATTCTCAGTACATTGCTATGGGCTTTGAGGAGAGAAAGGTGAAATTTTAATAGCACATTCTTTTACACAGTTTTTTTCTCATCTATTTTATTCAAAAAAAAAAAATTAATTGAACATTTTAGTTGGAAAGGTATCGGCATTCGCAGTTTATGGAATATAAAATTGCTCGTTTAGGACCCAAAAAATACGATGAAGGCGTAAAGTTTGTTTTTTAAACCTCTTTTATATACTGTTCTAAGTTCATTGTAGTTGAAATTTACAACAGTTTTGTACAGCAACTTTAAATTTTACCAATGTTAATTACCACTATCAGTTGCAATTTTTTATACTCACGCTCAGACTGTTTTGACAGCAACTGTTACATTGGTCACGTTTTGTAGGTTGATTGGAAATGTAGGACTAAATAGTAGTGGATCTGACCTGTTGGAATTATTCAGATGGAATCCAAAATCCAATTCATACGTAAGTTAATCACAGTTATCGTCAGTATACTGCTGAGACAATAAAATTTTTGCTTGTTTTTGTTCTGCTATTTGCATTTTAATTGATGTAAATTTTTAGGCATTTGTTTTTGAAAATGATGTTTATTATTGTGAATATCCAGAATCTCAAGTGATGCATCAGATTACCAAAGACAGAAACAGATTTGTATATAACGGTATTTCTGACTGGATTTATGAGGAAGAAATATTATCGAGCAGTTCAGTAAGCAAGCGCTAAGCATAGATTTTTTTTTTTTTTTTTGTAATTTATGATGCTCACTGATTTGGCTATTAAATGTATAAGTGACTTTTTTTTTCGTTATTATCAACAAAAATTAAGAACAGACTAAAGTCGCAGCTAAAATAAAATTTGAGCAACGTTTAAGACCAAAAATAATAATCTAAAAATGGCCTTATGTTAAATAACGAAAATTTTTTTTTCTATTTTAGGG